ACGGCCGAAGCGGACCATCAAATTCGAAGTCAAACGGTTGGCAAAACGAATTTGACAGAGTGGTTCCATCAATCGCCGAAACAATGATCGCTCCTTTTAAGTTTTTTATGATTACCAGGCCAGCCTCTTCATCGAAATCAACCTCAAAAGCACGGGTTTTATGGGCCAGTCGGACCTCTCTGAATCGCTTGTAGGTTTCTAAATTCCAGAACAAGATCCATCCCGTTTCGGGCCCTTCTGGTGGCACCTCAGTGACCACTACACCCACGGGCCACCGTATGGACATGCAAGCGGGAACTCCGAAGTGCGAAGGCGGATCGATGGTGCGACACAGCTGGTACGAAGCGTCCTTGATCCTTCTGAAGACCTGTATCGAATGTGTGCGGCTGCGCTCTACCAGGTCCAACACGAAGTGATACGCGCCATCATGTTCAAAGTATCGCCCCTCCGCGGCGGTGGCGGGTAAGGGGGCCTTTCTCAGCACGTTTGAGGCTTGTAACTTGCCTTCAGCAGGATCGTCACAGGCGAGTGCAGCGAGCACAGAGACCTCTGTAATGGTACGCGAGCCGTCGAGAGCAGTGTTCATAACACTGATTCGTCCTGAGGTACGAGTGTTCAGTATGAGCGGTTGTTGTGTATCCACGTCCTCCCATTCCGGAGTCAAGAAGTCCATTCTTGCAAGGCGCGCATGAGAAGGCAAAAGATTGCGGGCCCGCCACTCTTCCCGAGTCCGCCTGCCTTTACCGCGCCGGAATATGTCCGGCGTCTGCCAGGCCATCGCGAGCGTCGCATGCTTTTGACAAAGATCCTTATAAGTGGCAACGCCTTCAAAGTACCCCGTCGCGCTGGTAGTCGCCAAGTCGTGCCATCGCGTGTAGTCTTCAGACGTGTCTTGTAAGGCGCTGCAGATCGGCAGTCTTGACCGAGGGTCGTTTATCAATTTCCATTGGAAAGCGATGCTGCGCCATATCCCTTCTGAGCCGTCGATGCAGGCACGCCATTCTCTTGACACACGTCTACTTCGCAAGAGCGTCTTGGGATCCACCAAGGTCAGGATGTCGCACCTTACTTCTAGAGGCAGAGCGTCCATATTTGAAGTTGCTCTTGATGCAGCGATGGGATTGGGAACACCCTCCAATAAAGCTCTTTTGGCCCGCGTGTCTCGCATTGCGGGCGAAAACCTTAGACCACCGTCAGAACTGCGTCTACTGCATAAGACGAGGTGCGATCAGCTCGAGTGGCGCGCGTGCTCCCGGAGCCACTGATGCTCTATACCACCTTGGCGGGTGTGACCAAGAAGATGGCTGGTGCTAATCTGTGTGTTTGCCCAACGCGGTTCAATCCAGACCTGCCAAGAGGTTGCCTAGATTGACTTGAGCGATACCGTCGCATCGATGAGATGTTATGGGAGTCTCGTCGCTGCAGGTAGAAGGCTTGTCGCCGCAGACGTGCAACAACGCTTTCAGATGGGGTGGTGTTCAGAGCTAGTATCTACTTGCAACCAATCGACGCCTGTGCGTCGTGGTCGGAAGGATGAAGCTCCGCGCTAAATTTGGCGCGCCGCACTAGACTCAAACCAAGAATTCACTCAAAGGCTACCGAGACGCGCCGCTTGCTGAAACGCGCGCGTGCCTTGTCACGTGCAGGTCGTGGGTTCAAGCCAAACGGTGGAGTGCACGAGGCTGTGCACAATTTTCTGCCGCATGCGCCCCGAGGACAGCATTGGGTGCACCGCGCCGTGATCCTCTCAACTTCATTCAGCTCGTGCGTAGGCGCGCACTTTTTCCTTAGCCTTTCTTCCTTTGACAAAGCGCTGCATCGTTATAAGGTGAGTGGCGATACGATCAGATCGATGCTCATGGCCCTCCAATGAAAGAGATGCAAAGACACGTCTCCACAGCCAGAATCGGCTCGGACAAGATCGCGCGGTAAAGCGCCAGAGACCGCGCCATGTCGCTTCGCTGGCTTGGCCACTTCCGGCAAGGTCATCGTTTCAGCCTATTCAATTGACATTTTCAGAACGCCGTGATTGCACAAGGACTAAAGACGCTTCACCCGGAAAGTCTGCTTAGGAATGCGGGGTGGCAAACGCCTGTTGTGCGGGTCTCGTCGAAAGAGAGTGGGATGCGCGGAAGTCGTGTGACAAGCAGCCGCGAAGAAAGCAAGGTCATGCTGCGATGGGAGAGCGCCGTAAGGGAAGTGCCTACATGACGCGCATGCGCACCGCATTGGGTTCGACCGGGAGGTGGCGCAAGCTAAGAACCACTCTCGAAGTGCATAGGAGTAAAGGCCTTTTGAATTCACTTTTCGATGGTCTCCTGGTCGTTGGTGACACTTTTCTATGAGTCTTCTGCGGAGTCGTTCGCACTTTGAACAGCTGGAGCATGGCGGCTGAATTTAGCCAGACAACCGATGTCTATGTACTCCAGACCAGCGTTGTAATGATTTGTCCATAGCGTCGTAGCATCTAGATGCAGGTCGAGCAATCGGTCCGACCAAAACTCTGTGTGCCGACTGTCATTTCGCCGAAAGACTCTGGTCTGAATGTGCCAGACCTTCACATCCTCGAAAGGGTGCTCGCGCACTGTCTTGTGCGTATCGAGGCGTCTCGAGTCCAAGTCGATGACAAAGACGTGCTCCTTCTTGCGCTTGCTGGAAGTGCCTTCTGTACTCATCACCTGGCAGATTCGTGAATTGGCTGTCGCTTGATGGCGGAACCATACGTTCTTGACATCCCTGATACTTTCTCCAAACACGTGGTAATGTAGGATGGCGACCCTGATCAGATGCCGACCCCGTGGATCGATCATCTTGGAATAGGGCCTGAGGAGAGTTATGCCCCAAATGTAGCTTACGGCGAGTGTGTCAGTGCGGTGGTCAGCATACGTGGCTAGAGGTCGAGCGCCCCAAAATCTGGAGTCCACGGGGTATGATGGTCCATGACTCTGTGTGACGAGGGTGAGTTGAAGCCCGGCGAAAACTTGTCCGCATGACAACTCACGTCATACATCCCCAGATATCGACGCAAAGTGCTGCGACATGTCGGTAAACGCAAAATAACTTGAGTTGAGAGAGCGAGCCAGCATCGCTGACGAGGTCTGAAGTAAAGCTCTCACCTCCTTCCGAGAGTCACTGGTGCCAAGGCCGTCTGCTCCAGTGCGCGCCAATGGGTCGTGAGCTCCACTTTCGGCAACGTGATAGGTGAGTGACTCAAATACGTCGTGCCAAGCCAAATCTGCGAGGCCTGCAGATACCAGGGTGCCTCAAACTCAAGCGCCGGGGTGCCCAAAGAAGGGACTTCGAAATCGAGCGGGAGGCACACCCAAGATGCGAGGAGTGAGCCGTCGACGAGTGAGTAGATCTGGACATCTTGGCTGTCGGTGACGAAAAGCAGATTGGCCGATCTGTCAAAATCGATGGCTGACACTTCGTCACATTCTGTGAGCACAAGGATAGGATATGTTTCGAAATTTCGCAGATCCCAAGCGATGCAGTAATATTCGCCGCCACCATCGTAGGACAGTGCGACGCAGTCAGGGTAGCGCATCCCCAATGCCGTGACAGCTTCGCTGGAGGTCGGCAGTGTGAGCTCGCCCACAATCTCGTAGTGATCGCCGGCATTCTTCCACACCTCAAGGGCTTGAAGCAAACGACCGTCTGACGTATGCCTTTCAGTAATCTCGAAGAAGATATCCTCGAGCTGCCTGTGTGAAAGTCTTACAGGATCAGGCATCTCGATTTTGCTGGGTACGCGGAGCGGCTGGCTTCTGGCGGTGACCGCGCCAGAAAACTTCCCTCGCGCAGTAATCGACGCGCGCGAAACGTGTCGACCGGTGGCCCGAGTCTCAAAGAGCGCCAGATACAGTTCGCCTGACCTGCTCGTGCCTGTGATGCGCGCGTCCCGCAAATATTCCTCATTTGAGAGCAAGCCGGTGGGCGAAGGGTGATGACGTTTCGCCGGGGGCGCCATCAGGTGTTCGACGAAGGAACTTGATGCGTCCCAGGCGGAGGTCAAGCGAGCGTGATGCCGACAAAGGCTCTCGTACGTCGTCACCTCGTCGAAATAGCCAGTCGCGCTTGCAAGGGAATCGTAAGTAGCATGAGCATGGCCCAAGAACATGTCCTCCGTCTTCCAAGTGGGCACTGGAGAAGTGGGGCTCTCGAGCAGACCCCATGCGTATGCAATGTTTCGCCAAATGTGTTCATCGCTGACGATCCAGTGCTGCCAGCGCCTCGATACGCGCCTGCAGCGAAAGGCGGTCTTCGGATCCAGCGCCCGAAGGATCAGGCTGCGTGTTTCGGCTGGAAAATGTGCGAAGTTCACCTCGACCATGTTCGAATGCGCCGTCGCGCACTACGAAGAATGATGGAAAGGGTCGCACGTACCCTAGCTGCATGTATGCATGCCGTAGTGTGAGGGTAAAGAGGAGAAAGGTAAACAGTCGTGGTGCCAAATGGCGATGCGCCTTTTACCTACGCAAAGATCTGGGAGTTGGACGTTGGGAAAAAGAATCACGAATGTTGCAGATCCGCAAAGAGCAGCACAACTCACGCGTGGCCGGGTGCTGCGAGCTCGGAGCAACTTGATTAAGAGGCCATTGCAGCAGGACTTGATTCGGGAGCGGCTATAAGTCAATCACTCACAGATTAGATTCGTGCCTTGCCGCGAGGTGCTTCGATGCTAAAGAGCTCATCATTCAGCAGTGAGTCACGACCCACCGTTCGGCTTGTCGACCGTTCGGCTTGTCGAACGCTGATGAAGACTGACGACGCGTCGCAGAAGGTGGGGGCACATGCAGCTGCGGTGGCGGTCTAATTGCGACCGTGATGAAGCATGTTCCTTGATCGACGTGAGAGTAGTGGCGCTGCAATTTATTTTACATCTGAGCTGAACTTATCATCTGTGGGCTGAGACGGCAGGCATAGATGAGCAGATGGAGGAGCAAGCTGCGGTATAGTCACGAGTGTTGAGGCATCTAGGCAGGTTGCGCGAAACCAAGGTACGTCAGAATTACTTGGATTGACGGGCGAGGCTTCCTTCTTGATGGCCGTCTCTTCCCGCAAGGCAAATGTTGCAGAGTCCAGTCAATCGCGCTTGCTGCACCATCAGCAGAAATTGGCATTCATTCGTAAGTTACCTTCAAAAGAACGCGACAGCGTTTGCCGGGGCAATCTGCAATTTGTACGTGGCAGCTGAACATGGGAGCGTTTGGATGTAGATTTCATGCGTGCATCTTGGCTCGCCTCAGAGCAGATCGATCCGGTTGTGCATCCAAATCGCAACGAGAACCAAGAGGATGGCAACAATGATCGAGCCGAAGAGCTCCCCTGGGCACGATCCGAGCACGCGCGACTTTCATCAGCATACAAAAAGAACACTTTGACCTGAGCGCTTGCTCATTGACCAAGCCACTCACCAATCCCATTGTCCGGCTTGAGATCTATGGGCACATCGATGACTCGAAGGGTATTATCTGCACTTGTACTGATCAGCGTCTTGCCGCTCGGACTGAATTTGAGAGCTGTTGAGGGGAAGCCATGAGCATCCAAGATGCGTACAAGCGGCTGCGAAAGGCATTCGGAAATGACGCAATGTGATTCGACTAGGATGAACAGCGATGATCCATTGTTGGCCGCCTATCACGACTCACGCGAAGTGTCCGTGCATCCAGTACGCCGACTGACAGGTCCGATGATCCGTACGCCAGCTTAGTACCATCGGAACTGGTGGCGAGAAAGACGGGGTCAGGCTCTGCGTGCTCCGCAGCGAATGTCCTGCTCGCACTTACGAGACATCAAACACCGTCACTGGCTTGTCGGAGATCTTGCGCGTCTCCACCAAGTCCCACGAATCAGCGTCCCACGATGTCACGAAGCTGGTACGCAGGGACAAGGGCCATGAGCAAAGCCATGTGTCTTGCTGGAGTAGACCCAAGGAGCAGCACGCTGCCTCTACTCTGGCTCTCGCTTCCCACCGCCTACTCACCTCCTTCGATCAGCTTTGCCCTTGCCCTTGGACCCCGACCCACCAGACCCTGAATTAACCACAGTGAACAGCCGATGCCGCGTGCCACCGTTCACAGGGTCACCTCTTCCAAACTTTGCTGCGCGGAAAGTGCACACAGCGCTCTGTGGGCTGGTGTTGCCGGCAGCGAGCGCAGCAGAGGTGCCGCCCAGGCCCGGATTCTGGATTGTCTGCACGAGCTGACCTGCATGCGCGCCTGACGAGGTCTTTCCGCCGCCCACACCTTTCTCATCGCCCTCCTTGCCCGCTTCCGTCGCCCAAACCTTGATGCTCCTCTGAGCGCAGACTAGCACCTGTGCAGAATCTTCGCTGAAGTCGGTGTCGAAGATCTCCTGCGCTGATTCGGGCTTTGCGCTGGTATCGCTCCATGCTGACTCCAGAGAGGGGTATCGAAGCAGCACGTGTTGTCCATCCGACGTTCCGACAGAGAGGTGTGTACCTGTGGGACTGAGCGCGATCGCGCGCTGTTCCGAGATCGCGGGGTCAGACAGAGCGCTACCAAGGCCTCAAGTTGCCATGTTGCCGCTCACGATGTACGACTCTGGGTCCCGGATGTCAAGACCTTTGATGGCCTTGGCCTTGGAGAGGGTGATCTGCGCTTGCACTTTGCCCTTCTCTAAAGCTGTGGACCCGGTGACGCTGAAGTCAAAGATCCGGACTGGTTCGTTGCGTCCGGCCTTGACAAGCTCAGCTGGAGAGTTGATGCCGGCCAGAATTTGATGTGACTTTCGAGCAGAGGGAGGAGCTCGTCGGTCTCAAGCTGCAACGTGGAGCTAACTGGTCTCCAACACTCACTTGTCTCTCTACAGCCAAGCAGCCCGGCGCATCTTCGTCTTTGCTCAGCTTCGTCTCGTGAAGCGCCTCCGTCTTTCTGTCATCTTTCAAGATCCTCAACACCTTGAGAGCATTGGTTACGCCTGTCCTGCCCACGCCTCCGCCTCCTCCATACACGACCAAGTCCTCCTCTAGAAAGTCGAGCGCATAGACTGGGATGCCCGCAGGCACGGGAAAGTGGGCCACGCGCGACATGATGGCGGACGAGGTGGTGCGCAGGGTCTTTTGTCGGCGTAGATAAGCCTGGCGGTCAATGGGTATCGTCGGGGGCGGTAGCACAGGCAGGTGAGGAGAGTCAGAGAAGTCACGGAGTCACGAGGTGGTAGTAGTAGCGATGAGCTGCTGCGAGCCAAAAAGTCGCGCCTGGATGCGTCACGAATGCACGAGCCAGGATGGCAGTCACAGTCAGCGAGTCGATCACGCGTAGCACGGATGGGCGGAGATCGTCCGTTTGATCTTGATCCTCGAACGGCGAGTGCGCAAAGTTTGTTTCACAATTATTAAATTGTGCGCTGCGGCAATGCGCCAATGGCGCAGCGGAAATAGCCACTGTGTTGTAGTCGGTTAGCATGACGACCTCATATTTGTGAAGTTAGTCGTAGACCCGAGTTCGATTCTCGGCGGAGGCATTTTTTTGGCAGGCATTTTTTTGGCAGGCATTTTCGAACATGCTTTGCGAACATCCTTTTCGATGATGAATGATTGATCTACTTGGTTTGCATGTCATCTGGAACCTTCTTTCACCTACCATTAAGCGCATCTCACCGGCAGCTAACAACATCAACTGAAGCTCTGCCTTACCGCTGGTGACTTGATCACATCTCGATGTGCGTGCACTTTGCTCGCTGCATTTGCAAAACACGTGGCTATCTCTGTGCACAAGCCTGCGCTCTGCTCCTCATCTTTGATGTTTTCCGGTGCTCACTTCGACACTTCAAAATCGAGTTGGCAATCTTGAATCAATCAAAGACAAAGGAAGCTAAAACAGCCTCGCGGCTCGCACCTTGCCCTCCTCCGACGTCACTATTTCAAGAGGCGGACTTGGCGTTCAGAACACAGCTTTCAGTGGTTGGGGCTCTCGAGGACTCTGGATGCAGTCAAGGTCGCTTGGTCGCTGTTTGCTCACAATCACGGAATACCATCGAAAGTCGACGCATCCTGCGCAAATCGCAGTGCGAGACCTTGCAGACGATGCTCCTTCCCTAATTTATCCTCTAGATCTGGGTACTGCACTTCATGATCATGACGCGTTGCAAGCAGACGAAAATGCAGCCGATTGCGGGACGAATTGCGATCGACGAGGCTAGGCGAGAACATTTGAAGCACTATGCCACGGGAGTCCAATGCAATCCCTGTCCCACCTGCGACGCGGGGATCATGGTCAGCAGCGCGTTGGTCGACCGAATGCTGAACTCGCCGACGCACCAGCTTGGTCAAGTCGATCGTTCCAAACAAGCTGCTGGGTGGGCAAGCGTGAGACTCCATTCTCGTGGCGCAAGGCGCAAGGCGACGCCTGCACTTACGGATCATCCACTTTGTATGCGTCGCAGTTGATGCTGTAGCTCAAGGCGATGGGATACCTGACCTCGATGTTGAGTGCGGCCCAATTCCCCTCTCTGTGAGCCCCTGCTACATCTGCGCACGTCTCCAAAACATCTCTTGCTGCTGCGTTCTGGTCTGCCTCAAAGTGTTTGGAGTACTGCCAGACTGAGGGAGCACGTCAAACGATGAGTGTCAGCAGAGCGGCACCGTATGCGCTTCGCGGACAGTCCATCTTACCTTGCAATTGCGATTCTCCCGGCGAATCGTCTTCTGTGGGATTGGCGCCGCTGGATGGGCACTAGCGAGCATTAGTGATCAAGACGCGCAGTGCCTCGCAGAGTCGCCCAGCTCACACGACGGCCCAGCCCAGCTTGTCTGCAACCTGCATTCAAGCGTTGGCGAAGGAGCGTGAGAGCGGTGTGAGTCATCGCAGCTCGTCACACCTTCAGCTCTGACGCTCACCTCTTGCGTGTGGTCAATAGCGTCGCCCACTCCGTGCCAGGTGATGGCGTACAATGCGCAGCTGGCTTCGAGCAAGTCTTCTCCAGCCGCACGAGACCGTAGCGCATCAAAGTAGAAGACGTTGCCCGGGAATCGCACGCCGAGCTTTGTGCGCACAGCGTTGCAACCCTTCGCAAAGTCTATGCGCGCCTGGACGATGGGTGGGGCATCGATGTTGGCTGCATAGTGCTGAGCCGTGGCGCTGTAGCTGAGCAACCAAGGTTCGGTGATCTGAGGATACTTGCGCGTTGGATGCTTGGATTCGGGTCTCGCCACCTTGAGCCGCCTAACGTCAGCGTGCTCTTCGCTCAACCCAATACATGCGCGTCACTCACTCCATCCACCCCTTGGGCCGGAGCTGCAGAGACGAGCGGCACGAGCAGGCCGAGTGTGCCTGCCAGCAAGATCCTGTGCACGAGCATAGCGAGATGGATGACTGGAGATGCTTTTGTTGGCGAATGAAAGGGTGCTGGGTTCATGAACGGGAAGGGAGAGGTGGAGGAGAATTCGTGAATGGCAGAGAACATAGAAAGGTTTGCGATGGGGCAGGAGGTCATGCTGTTGAGGAGACAGAGGCGCGGACGATGTACTATGCTGCGCATTTATGATTCACCGCTAAGTTACTAGCCACAGCTGAGCCAGCACCCGTGACTACGGCCAGTACACGTTGATTGTCAATCAAACGCTGCTCGAAGCAATCTGAAGCGCACTTAGCCGCCTCGTATGAGTATTTGCACAGCCTCACAAACAAAATGAGTTGGGACCTTCCGTGATGTCTGAAAGCAGCTGGCACTCTTCCTGTCTTGCGTTCAATGCCGGCCACGGGTCGCGTCAAATGATAGCGTGGGCTGAGGAGCAACACGTCTGACAGGCGTGCACGTCACTCTGGCCCGCTTAATTGACCCAGCTCCACGCTTCGCCGAGCAGACAGCACTCGCGACCGACTGCCCATGCAGGCGCGCACGACGCTTGTAAGTAAGGGAGTCGAGAAATTGGAAACCTGGATGATTTTACTGGCACTCAAGCGTGGGCGCAGCATCGCGTTGCCAAAGACTCGGAGCGTTGCATCACTCAGGACATTGAGGTCGCTGCGTGGAGGCGCAGATTTGTGACTCGAAAGAAAGCTGGCATAGATGCCATTCAAATGAAGATACAAGCATACCGACACGACGCCCTTTGCTACAGCGTCTGTTCCGCAGCAACGGGTATCTAGTGTGCTAGAAATGTTCGTATAAACCGTTGGCAAAAGCTTGCTCAGGGTAGTACCTCGCTCGCACCGACCTGCCTCCAAAGAAACGTCTGAATAGGGTGGGTGCGCACGTCAGTGGAAAAGAGTCCTATGACATGTTGAAAGACGTTTTGACAGGAGCACGGCACTCACCCGTCCAGTTCCTTGACACATCTCCAGGCACCCGCATGTCCAGAGAACCTGACAAATATGCGCACCCTCTCCATGTCTGCTTCTGTTGGGCAGGGCCAAATGGCAACCCTTTCCACGTATCCATGCTTGGAACACTCGTCGCCCACGTCTGCCGGAAGGTCGTCGTCAATTTCAGAGGTTCCGATCATATTGTCGAGAACAATGACGGGGGATGGCTGCCAGGGACAATTCAAGGATCAGCTTGGCTGCACGTCAGGGCTATCGCTTTGATGGCTCTCACCTGGCCGTACGCTTCTTCCAGCTTCTTCTTCATGTCTGCGCTCTCGGCATGGATGATTCTGCCCATCGCCCTGTTTGTTGGGTTATCCTCTTTGCCCTTCCACCTATTCTCCGAGGCTTCCTTTTCCTTGGCAGCCATCAGAGGAGTCACGATGCCCTTGTTACCCGCAGCACCCAGGCCTTCGCCTTCTACCCATCCTTGCTTTGCCATCAATCTCGCCGCAAAGCCCTTTTGATCTCGCTGCGCTCCTTGACCGGGTCCAGCTGCTGCACCGTCCGATCGATTGACCCACGAGATGACGGGCTGCTTGACAGAGGTCGAAGCTGCGGCGCTGTTTTGCAGAGCTGCCAGCTTTGCCGCGATCGCGGCTGCTGCAGACTGGCGAGCGGCGAAAGAAATCGGGTCATGTTGAGGCTGGGATGGAGCATTTGTGAGGTCGGTAGGAGGCGGTAGGCCAGGAGGCGGTCCGGGAGGCGGTCCAGGAGGGGGGCCCGGAGGTGCTGAGGATGGAGGCGGTGCTGCCGTTGCAGACGCGCTGGAAATGGCGAGCCTTCGTGCGTATGCTTCCTCCCCAGTCATAGCTTTCGATCCGGGAGCAATAGTTGCAATCGGAGGCAGAGGCGGCTCTGATGGTGGTTCGCTTGCATCATCACGTGGCTCAGGAGGCGGAGTGAGCGAGATGTACGGCTTGTCATCATCGTCGTCTGCTGCCGCGATCGCGTCTCTGCCTGAGCTCCGTGCACCGTACAGACCGGGTGGAGGCGCGAACCGAGCTGGAGGGGTTGAAGCGCGGCTCAGCTTTTGGTGAACGTGGCGCACGACGTCTCAGAACGACGCGCACTCACCGAACCTCTCTCTGCGATCCAGGTCGTCCAGATCCGCGCCGCCATGCAGCCCCATCATCTCGTCATCAGGATCTGCTCCATGCAGCTGGGCGAACCTTCGCTTCTCCCTTTCCCAAGCCGCTCTTCGTCTAGCCGATCGGATGAGAATGTATTCGGTGTAGGAATTCGGTACGCGAGGATCGTAGTCCGCATTCATATCCAGCTTTGTGAGAGCAGGTGAACGGGCACGAGTCTGGAGGGAGCAGCAGGAGCGGCGATTCTGCGTGAGA